CTTTCTGCATCCTGCCAACCAATGAGTTACACTCCCAATTAAAATATAAATGCAGAATAGCAAAATAAAATAAAAACAAGGGAACAAACAATGGGTTGCCTCTCATAAGCGCTTGTTTTTGAGTCATCAGCCTGACTACCTCCCTGGTTTAAGAATTAAGCCTCTTACAGAGTGATGGACGTTTAGAGAGGCGCTCAGTAAAGAGCGGCACCCGCCCATAGTAAGTGTCATACAACACTACAAATGGGTCTTTGATTGTGATGCCCTCAAGCTTGGCATGATTTTTACAATTTAAGCACGTTGCATCAACAAGATTTGGCTTCGGAAGGTGATGGGCTTGATTGGAGAACTTCATTTTTGGTTCGGGCTCATAAAGAATGCAGTATAGTGGCGGTGATAATGATGGCCAAAATGGGTCGAATGGCGGTATGGATGTTAGAGCGATTGACGAGCTCAAGTCAATGATTTCTTATTTTCTTTCATCCTCCTCTGACGACTCTTGCGCCTCAAATTTCCTTATAGGTCCTTGTGCTATTGTTTTGGTACTTAACCAAGCTAACTGCTCCATAGGTTCATCTTCAGCCTCGTCCAAATCTAATGATGAGGATAGCTGCAACAAGTCCGAATGGCTGCTACTCTCAAGCTCTTTAGCCACCAAAGAGTTAATGACTGATATTGCAGAACATTCCTCCACCTCAGTTGGAAACTCCATTGCCTTAAATACATTAAATGTCACATGCTCATCCTGCATTCGCATGGTTAGCTCACCTTTTTACACATCAATTAGGGTGCGGCCTGTAGCAAGAAATGGCCTTCCCAAAATTATAGGCACTTCTATGTCTGCTTCATAATCAAGAATAATAAAGTCGGCAGGAAAAATGAACGTGTCCACCTTTACTAGTACATCCTCAATCTTTCCTTCGGGAAGTGCAATAGATCTGTCTGTGAGCTGCAAAGACATTGTGGTAGGCCATGCTTCCCTGATTCCCAACTTCTTGAAAATGGACATCGGCATCAAATTTATACTAGCTCCCAAATCACATAAAGCCTTACCAAAATATTGGTTTCCAATTGAACATGGGATAGTGAAACTTCCCGGATCCTTCAGCTTGGGAGGGAGCTTATTTTGCAATATGGCGCTGCATTCCTCTGTCAAAGCCATTGTTTCGAATTCTCCAAACCGGCATTTTTTAGTGACCAAGTCTTTCATGAACTTGGCATAGTTTGGCATCTTTTCTAGGGCCTCAACTAATGGTATGTTGATGTGTAGCTGCTTCAAAACATCTAAAAACTTGCGGAACTGCCCATCTTGTTGTTGTTTCTGGAAACGTTGTGGGAATGGCAGAGGTGGTCGGCTGCCACTAGAGTTGCTGGTCTCCGCTGATCCAGAATGCTGCGGAAATGCTGCATCATTCTACACATCAGAGTCTAGTTGCTGACTCCTGTGATGTTCTTCTTGGGGCAGTGTTTTCTTCTCTCCCTCTTGGATTGAAGTGGGCTCTGTTTGATCAGCCAGAGGTTTTGCCCTTGATTCCAGCTCCTTTCCACACCTTAGTGTAATAGCCTTACAGTGTTCTTTCCCGTCTCTTCGTGGATTTTCGGTATTGCTTGGGAGAGAACCTTGGGGCCTGTGGTTCAGAGAGTTTGCAATCTGCCCAACCTGATTTTCTAAATTTCGCAGTGCTACATCATGGCTCTGGATTTTAGCTTCACTCCTTGAAATAAATTCTTTTAACAAGCTCTCCAAAGAGCTAGATTGTTCCACGGCTTGAGTTTTTGTTGTTGCGGTGGATATCCAGATGGATAGGTGCTTCTGTGGTAGGCATTGGGCCCACTAGTACTTGCTCCCTGATTACTCCATGATAAGTTTGGATGTTGCCTCATCCCTTGGTTATGAGGATTTGAATAATGATGGTTACCCCTGTTGAAATTAGCAACATAGCATGCGGAGGCGGGGTTAGATGGGCAATCTTCATATAGATGGCCCTCTCCACAGTAAACACACGAAAAACCAGCAGTTTGCACTGCATTTACCCCTGCCGGTATGGTCAATGCCTTTACCATATTCGTCAAAGATGACATTTGCACTGAGAGCGCAGTGATGGCATCAACTTCATGAATTCCAGTGGCCTTCCTTGCATTATGCCTCTCGGTTGGCCATTGATAGTTATTGTTTGCCATCCTCTCCAAAATCTCATATGCGTCATTATAAGATTTGGCCAAAATGGCTCCACCTGCTGCGGCATCCACTATAGTTCGTGTTTGCCCATTGAGACCATTATAGAATGTATCCATTTGAATCTAGTGGGGGATCCCATGATGAGGGCACTTCCGTAGTAGTTCCTTAAATCTATCCCACGCTTCATGCAGTGACTCCCCATCTGCTTGTTGGAACGAGGTTATGTCATTCCTTAACTTGGCATTCTTGGTTGGAGGGAAGTATTTCATGAGAAACTTTTCTGCCAATTCATCCCAAGATGCCACTGAATCCGGAAGCAAAGAATTCAGCCACACTCGCGCCCTATCCCTCAAGGAATAAGGGAATAGCTTAAACCTCAATGTATCCCCCGGTAGCTTAAAAGCATCGCTCACCTCCATAAATTGTCTGAGATGGATGTGAGGATCTTCAGTTGCCATGCCATTGAACTGCCCCACGGTCTAGAGCATTTGGAACATCACGGGTTTCAGCTCAAAATGAGGCGCCTGAATTGCTGGTCTAACTATGCCCGGGTTAAGTCCATGCAAAATGGGCACTGCATAGTCTCGAATGGCCCTGTTTCTATCATCAATCGGCTCTGGTTATGGAACAGGGTTGTTGGCAATTACTTGCTGCCCGTTGTTTCCTGCTGCCCCTTCTGCCACGCCTCACACTCCTGCTAGGCCTTGTTGCTCCCTTCTCCTAGCTCGGAATGTTCTTTCAATTTCAGGATCTATAGGCAGCAACTCCAAGTCTTACGGTGGATTCATGCAAGCAACTTAGTAACCTGGGGAATTAAGAACCAAATGAATGAGATTAAAAAGTAAACAAATGTAAAACAAATTAACTCCTACAAATATTTTAATGATTTCAATTCCCCGGCAACGGCGCCAAAAACTTGTTGCGTGATAATTATGCTCGCAAGTGCACGTGTCGCTAACAAGTAATAAAGTGTACACAAGTACGGATATCGATCCCACGAGGAATGAATCACCAAAATATGTG